GCCCGAATCTCGCGTGCACCGAGCAGCGGCGCGGGCCGCGGCGAGTGGCTGCAGCTCGCCGAACGGGGTTGTCCGCAGTTCATGTGCCATATCTTTCTGTTCGGCTTCCCTCATGCAGTCGGCTCTCCTCGCCCTCGACGCGCAGCAAGTCCAGGTTGCGAGGTTGCGTCGCGCGATCGTTGAGCGAGGACATGCCGCGTGGTGGGATGGAGACAAGCTCACCCCAGACTTTTTGGGAACCGCCCTCTAATGCCTGGACGTTGGAACATGCCTCTCTTGGGTTCCCTACCCCTCCGCGCCCCCCTCCAGCAGGCGTCCGTCGCCGGGTTGCCCGGCCCGCTTGCGCGGCTCGAAGATATGCCCTGGCCCTACAGAGCGGCGGCGTCAAGGCGCTCGTTTTTTTTTCGCGCTGGCGCCCCCAGGGGCGAGCGACGGCGCCCGAGGTGGCAGGGCGCGTTCCAGGGGAGTTTCGACCGGGCGTTATTTGTCCGACGGGGGCCTCGCACGTCGGATCAGGACTAGAGTGAGGCAGCATTCCTGTTCATCCTTTGAGTTTGGCAATGTGGCGGATTTGCAGTCGCTCCCGAATGTTGCCCCGATGGCGTGGAGCCGCATCGCGCTTCGCAGTTGGTTTGGGGTGTTGGATCACGAAACAGCGGATGCAGAGGCCCTTCCACTCCTGTGCTTTCGGGTGCCCGAATGCTCCTGGTGCCATCTCCCATTATGGTTTCAAGTGCGTCCGCATCCAAGGGGTTGCGCCTATGTCTCTCCATTCTCTTCTCCCCTCCGATCCTCTCTTCGCTCTCGGCCTCCGCGGAGGTTCGCTCGTCTTTATATCGTTCCATTATATCATGGTTATCGCACTGCTGCCCGCCAGCCGCCCCTGCCTCTCTCGGCCGTCGAAGCGGCAGGGGTCATCGACGCTGTCCGTCAGGCCACCCGCCTGCCCCCCAGAGGCAGGCGGAGGCACTTCCTCTCCCGCGCCCATCTCGACAGCATCGTGATGGAGGCGCGCGGGGTGGGCGGGTAAGCAGAAAGTTTGGACTCGCCGCGGCCGCGCTCCACCTCCCCCTCCTCCTCCCCCCTCCTCTTCTTCCTTCTTCTCCCTCTCCTGCCCCTGCTTCTCCTCGTCGTTGTTGCGCGGCTATTCGGGAACTCTCCAGGACAGGCTTTGGGGCCCAGGTCCTAAACCAGGACGGTTCCCTCGGGGCTGGTTTGTTTGCTCTGCTTTGGGCGCCGTGGCCCCAAGTGCCCCAAGGCGGAGAGCACGGCATCTTCGCTGCTGTCGCACATATGTTGGCTGGCCCAACTAAGATTTATCCAGGTTGCCAGTCTGTAGTTTGTCACTCGCAACTTGCCAGGCAGCAAGCCTTGTCGCACAAGCGAATGCACTCGGGTTTCATGCTCCAGGCTCGCATGGGAGATCTTTCACGCGCGCAGGCACTCATCAAGGTGTGCGCTCACCAGGAGCTTGATGATTCGCTGCCTGCTCGCGAGTATTTTTTGAGGCTTGGGAACCACCACGCGGACCGCCAGGCCAGCCCTGGGAGGGAGCAACACGCCCTGCCGAGCCCAGCGGAAGCGGACGCGATTTGGAGGAAGGTTTCCATTGCGCGCTTGGTAGCGAAGTTAGCCGCGCGGTTGTTGCCCTTGTGGCCTCGTCTGGACCTTCAGGAGGTCGAATGGTTGGCCCCTGAGTCGGTCGTTTCTGGCCGCCAGGAAGGCTTAGCCCACAGGTGGGTCCAGCTCAGGCAGTCTTGGCAGTGTTCTGTTTGCCTGAGAGGCTCGCGGCCCCATCAGCCACCAACCTCCAAGTGCTCAGGTGCTGACGGCCTGCGAGGCCTCACGGCGGACGATTTGTCGCACCTAGGTCACGCCATTGCCAGCTGCGCACGGTTGCCCGGATGGCTCTTTTGTCGCCGCGTGCACTCGTTGCAAGCTGTATTCGGCGGGTGGCAGAGTGCGAGGACTGCGCGAGCGCTGCCCCACGGAGCCTGTTAATTTGTCTGATCACTCCATGCGCGGGCGCAGGCACTGTTGGAATCGTATTACCAAGAGTTCCCATCCCAAGGGGGATGGCATCACCCTGCAGTATGTGGACCTGTCGGCTGAAGGCGCACTGGACGCCCCCCCTCTCGTTGAGCCTCCTCCCGAGCCCCCCTCCTCTCAGGAGCAGGCCGAGAGCCCAGGTCAGGTGCTGCTTAGAGTAGCAGCCGAGTTGGCGCGTTACCGCAGCACCGCGGCGCGGCCCGCGCAGGCAATGTACGAGCCAGTGTCGCAGTCGAGCTGCAGTGGCCGAGCGGCCACCAACGCCTTGAAGGCACCCACGTCTGCAGCTGGAGCTGCGACTGGCGCCTTACTCTCGTCCCCACATTGCGCTGCGCCCAGTTTATCGAAATCCACGGTTGTCAGGACGTCGCGCAGTAGCGCGAATATCTCTAGTCGCAGCGGCTTTTCCAGGCTTCCTGTCCAGTCCCCGTTGCCTGGGGCGGGGCGTTCTGCAGTCAGGCAGCCTGCGCAGTCTCCTCTGCTTGTTGAAGGGGCATTTACACCCTGACAGCCTCGCGACGGAGGACGAGATGGTTCGTCTTTGGCTCGGAGCTTCCGAGGAGGAGGAGTTTGTCGTCAGGTCTTCGTCGGCGGGTGGCGGAGGAGGTCCTTCGCACCAGGGGTAGTGTGCTGTGTCGCCCTGGCCGCCTTGGCGTCGCTTGTGCGCGCGCTTGCACGCGTGTCAGGCACCCCAGTTGCGTAGGAAGGTGCGCAGCACGCGTGTTTTGTTCAAACTCTTCTGGGCCTGGCACGGGGGCGTGTTCAGTCCCGACCGATGCCTTGTCCCACAGGTGTTTCTGTCTCTGCCGCTTGAAGCCTGTGCACCTTGCGTTGGAGCGGGAAACGGTGGGCCCTTTGATCGCCCCGCCCAGTTGGCACAGGCCGCGTCCGGAGGGCCCACCATGGGTGCTCTGGCTCTGGTGGCGAGGCGGGCCCACGCCAGGGGCTGTCCAGGTGCCGTCCAGGCGTCCGCCCACTTGGGTTAGGTACACCTGGGGTTTGCCTGGCGGTCCTGGCGTCGCCCTGTCTTTATTTTAGTTTCTTTGCGGCTTGGTGTTCTCCCATTTTCGTTCTTGGCGGTGCAGGTTACGCAGCCTGCCTCAGTGCCCGAGCTTCGGGGTACCGTTTTTTTTTGCTCTCTTGGAGTGCTTGGCGCATGTGCGAGCGCGCGCGTGGCCCTGCGCGAGTGTCAGGCGCCCCGCCTCAGGGGGAAGGTGCGCCGCGCACGTCTCCACCCTCCTCTCGGCGGTGCTGGTTACGCAGCCAGCCTTAGTACCCGAGCCTTGGGGCACCGTCGTGTTGGAGGGTTTCTTTATGCTTGTGCTCGGGGGCGCACCCCACATCAGGGGCGCAGCTTGGCCGCCGTCCTGGCGCTTCATTACGCCAGGGGCTGGCTTTCTGTGTTGTCATGCCGCCGCCAAGTTTTTCTGCTGCTGCGTGTCGGGCGTCGCGTGCACGTGTGTCAGGCGCCCCAGTTGTGGGGGAAGGTGCGCAGCACGTACGTTCGTTTTGGCTTTGGTTGCACGGCGGCCACCCTCCTTTTAGAGGAGACGGCGCCCGTCTGTCCCTGCCTCTGTACAGCGTGCGGTCGACCCCGACCGACTGGCGCTATTTCAGCGCTTGACGGTTTTCGGTTCGTCCTTGTTTCTCTCGTTCGCCGCTCAGCCTAGCTGTCGCGGCTGCTGCTGTCGTGGCTCTGCCCGTCGCAGCGACTCGCGCTGGCCGTGTCCCGCGCCAGCCGTTGCGGCCGACCCTGACCTGTGCAGGGGTCGTGCCGTTCAGCGCATTTCCCTCCACCTGTGCAGTCGTGGAGGGTCTTGAGCTTCTCTGGCGTTGGTGAAAGAATCGTTGTTGCGCGGCGGGCGCCGCGGATAAACTATTAGTGTCCATTGTTGGTGGGGCCCCCAGTCCGTCATATTATAAGATAAGTCGTTTCCACTATTGGGTGGGCTCGAAAGACCTACTTCGAGGAAGGGCGAGGAGCGAGGGCGCAGAGGAGGCGACAAACGGTAGCTGCAGTAGCAGCGCGCACTCGAGAACGATGATCGAATTCGGCCTCATGTCGTCGCGCCCTCCTCTCTCGTTGCACTTCGCTATGCGGCTGGGCAGCAGGCTGCGACGCTGCCGTAACACCCATGTGCAGACTCGGATGTTCGCCTTCTTTGCCGTAGCCTTGTTTTCAAGGGTATCCCGCTCGAGCATTGTGAAATGGATGGTGACGGCGCGGAGATGAACGACGTAGAATCAGGTCTTTGATGGTGCGGATATTTCCCCCTTCGGCTGGCCGGCTATAGGTTTTGCGTGATGTGCCGCGGTAGCCTCCTGCGTAGGTCATCGCGATAGGACCCCATGTAATCGGAAGTAAGTTCCCGCCCCCTTCGTCTGAGTATTGTTTCTGTCATCCCAATGGGCGCGGGGATAATCGCGTTTCGTGCGTCGCAGATTGGGCTGGACAGCTGCTCTTCTCCAAGGTGGCCTTGCGACGGCGCGAAGATCGTGTGGCGCGGTGCGCAAAGCTCGGTGACCCCAGGCCGCACCTCGGACGCGCATCTGCCCATGCGCGCATGCCTGCTGGTGAGGAGGCCGTGGCAATTACAAAACGAGCACAGTTCGCATCGTGGGGGCACTCGATGAAGTTTCGCGGGGCATCGCCTTTGCTCCCCATACCTTTCTTTCAAGATTCGGCAAGTTTAAACTTGCCGGCCCCAGGATTTCTCGACCCTTTCTTGGGGCCCCAACGTATGTATTTCACACCGAGGCGTTTTGCCGATGATCTAGGAACACTGGAATTTGAAAGCGGCACCAGAGGGCCAAGCATTTCCAACAGCCTCTGGCGCGATTGTTGCGATTGTTGCATGATTGAGGCGGCAGGGGTCTAGGGACCAGGGCTCGCGAGGACGATCCTGTAGCCCTCTTCACATGGGGGCAGGTGCAGGGCGCCGCCGCCGCAGGAGAGTGTCATGAACGAGAAAAACATTCTGATGATGACGAACTCCCCTTTCATCATCCGGCTGCCAGGGAACCTGCAACGCAGTCGCGGGGGCGGCGGGGGGGGCGATTGGGGAACGCTTCGCCTGCTTTTTGCGCCTTCGCCCTCTTCCTTGTCCGCCTCCCTTCGCCGTCCTTCCTTCCTTCCCCCCTTCGCCATCCACCCCTATCCTTGCCCCTCGCGGGTGGACCGGGGAAGGATGAGGAAGGATGAGGGGGGGGAAGGGAGGAGGCGCGGGGGGAGCAGCAGGGAGGCTCTCTCGCTCTCTCTCTCTTTCTCTCTCTCTCTCTCTCTCTATCTTCTCTTTTTGTCTTTCTTTCTTTCTCCGACGGGGGCACCGCGGGAAGCGTGCTCTGGTCAATTCAGTCGGAAGGTTCCAATATGAAAAGTGGATGCGCGCAAGCGGCACATTTATCCAGTTGTTTGCGGCAAGTTCCACCACCGTGCCAGATGAGAGCAGCGTTCTGTGCGGCGACGCTTCGAGCATCGCAGAGAAGGCGGGGACATGTGGCACGCCTTTCTATTATTTGTGAAGCCACAGTGGGTCCTACTTAGCCGTCTTGGTGCCATCTTTGGCTCCTGTGGGGCCGTCCTTTTGGACCGTCTTGGAGCGCCCTTGGGCCGTTATGCTGCCGTCTTCGGCCGTTTTGGATCCCTTTTGGCCGTCTGGGAATGCCTTGGGGCTGTCGTGGGAGACTCCGATCGGCAACCTGCGCACCAAATGTTACTCTTGCCTACGGCACCTCCTGGGACGACGGTCTATACACATCCACCAACACTGGCCAGGCCTGCCCTGGGCCCAGGAGCGGTGCATGCGCCTCCCTGGCTTGGCCAGGGAGGCGTACGCACCGCTCCTGGGCCGATGACGGGCCCTGCACGTGGCGGTGGATGTGTCCAGACTGCGTCGCCCGAGCTCCTGCGCGTGGCTGGCGGGGCCACGTGGCCGCCTGTCCCCCGAGGCTGTACGAGACGTACAACGGGTCGCAGACCCTCTACTTCCTGATGGAGCCCGCCCTGGGCGGGGAGCTCTACGCCACCTATAACCGAAAGGGCCTCCACGGCAGCGAGAGGCACGGCACGTGGAGGGCGGTCCATCCCTCTCGGTCCCCTCGACTGGCGAAGTGCTGCGTGCCCAGTTCTTCTGCAGGCTCTGAGTCTCGCTCGCCCCGTCCCCCTCGCTGTTGCAGGCCAGGTTCCGCCTCCGATGACGCCTGGCGCTCATGCGGCTCGCTGTTCGCTGCTCAGTGCCCTCCCAGCCTCTTCAACGGCCTGCGTGGAAACCAGGAAGGGGAGATACGGCTCCTCCCCGGGACCTCTCCCCGGGTGCGTTCTGACAAGAATTTCGAGGCGAATCCATCCGTGGCGACGAGGGCTCCCCAGGAGCCCCAAGCAAGGCATAAGTTGGGCAAGGGTAGCGGTATCGATACCTGCTCCTCCTCTGAGCCTCCCCATCCCCCGCCCTCTCCAGCTTGGGCTCGCGCGCAGGGGCGAGCAGCGGCCCGCCCTCCCCCGCCTCCTCCGACCTTCCAGAACTCCCCGGCGAAGATGCTGCGCGGCAGGAAGAGGTGAGCGTGTGACCAGCCCCCAGGATGAGCGTGAGCAAAAGACACGAAGTACGGTTCCAGGGAACGTGGGCCGAGAGCCCCGCCAGACGGCCAAGGCGCTCCGAGGAAGCGTAGATGGCGGGGGTCTGGGGCGGGGGTGGTGCTGTGTGAAGTGAGCACCTTCTTCTTTCTTTTCCCCCATCGACCTCTGCCAAACGCAAGTATTTTTGCGGCACACTTGTCTCTGGTATCGTTCCTGTAGTGTCCAAGCCCAAGGGTGGTGTCGACACCGTTTCTGCTTGGCAGTCATCCCGCCCGTGCCCTGGGGCCGGTGGCAGCTGCTCACTAGCTTTCGGAACACTGCAATCCGATCTCTTCCCTTTTTCATTTCTCTCTATGGTCCTGTGAGGAGTCTAGTGCATTGCCGTCTGTCTGAACGATGGGCCGCAAGTGGCTGATTCCGACGACGCTCGCCCTGGTGTCCTCGTGTTGGGCGAGTGTTTGGGGCAACCCCGTAGGTTTTGACAACGCGGGTCGCGAGAGTGCATAGCCGCGCGCGCCGATCCATATCTTGTGTGCACTCATTGGCATGATCGGGATCAGGTGGCGATTGCCGACCGACCGGCCGACCTCCGACCTTGGTGCCGCGGTCTTGTTGGGGAGCGCTCCGCCGGACATCGAGGGACGCGGGAGGCGGGCGGGACCACCACCCCGCCCAATGGCGCCGTTCCTTGGTGGACTGCGCAAGATGGAGAAGTGGACGTCCCATGCACGCGACCGCGGATGAGTGGCTCCGTTCCAGGCCTCCCAGGTGGGGTCCGAATAGATGAGGTGGGTGGGTCGCGCCGTCGCCGATGCATCGGCGATGCGTCTCGATGTGGAGTCCGAATTCCCCCACGCCGACGGCGCCGATGCGTCGCCGACGTCGTCGATGCATCGGCGGTGCATCGGCGATGCGGCGTGATCCTCTGGCCCCGTCTACTCGGACCCCATTTGGGAGGCCTCTATTCTCTTGAGTGTCTCTGCTTCTGCGGCGCAGTGCTTTGGCATTACGGACCTGCGAGCCCATCACAGGGATCTCTGCGGAGCAGCGCACGCAGCAGGTTCGGCAGCGGATTCCTCTCCCCCCTGGTTCCACGTCCCAGGCACGCGAAGTACTACATAGCGGGAACAATCTTCGCCTTCGAGCACATGCACGAGCGTCGCATCATCTACAGGGACCTGAAGCCCGAGAACCTCCTGCTGACAGAAAAGGGTCACCTGAAGGCGGGAATGTTCGAACGTTTTTATGGAGGTGCTGGGGGGGTCCAGATGCTTTTGGGAGGTTTTCTAATGTTTTCGGACGCTCTCAGAGGTTTCTGGACGTTTCTGGGAGAGGCACTAGGACCAGCAGCAGGAGGAGGAGGAGGAGGAGGGACATGCATCAGGAGGATGAAAGGAGGAACATGAGTAGTAGGAGGAGGAAGAGGAGAAGGCAGGAGGAGACAGGAGGAGGAATACGATGAGGAACGAGACTTGCTAATTGTTGCTTCATGCGCTTCCCGATCTTTCAAGGTCACCGACATGGGCCTGGCGAAGTTCGTAATCGGAAAGACCTACACAACATGTGGTACCCCCGACTACTTCGCCCCCGAGCTGATTGCGTCCTCAGGACACACGAACGTGATGGGCTTAATTTACAGGGCGGGAAGTCAGCGCACCAGGCATGCATGGTTGTTTTCCCTCTGCCGCCCTGTGCACGATGGCAGATCCGAGCAGGGTATCCCAGATGCGTGGTGTCCAACAGGGTACAGAGAGTTGCCCATCTGTCTTCTACACTGGCTATTCTATCGGGATTGGAACATGTATCCCTTACCCTGTCCCGAAGAGCAGGGGCCGTGAAAATTAGCTCCCTGGCCCTTTTGAAAATTCATCCCTCCAAGTCTGGAGCATCAAAATTGGTGGTTCCAACTCCGGCTCGACCGCTTTTCCTGCGTTTTCCTCCTTTTCCTTCTGCTTCTCGTAACCTCCTGCTCCTCCTCGCTACCGCTTCGTAACCTCGTTCAACGTCACGCTGTTGTTCGTGGCGTGGGCCTGGACCTCCCGAGCCCTCCCTGAGAACGGCTCTGCACCTTGAGCAGTGGTTCGACGCTTCTGCGGATGCCAGTCTTGTACGCTTTGAATATGCCGGAGGTGCACCTCCTGTCTACTTCGGTCCTGATTGCCTTTCCCCTTCTTCGTCCGAGGCGGTGGACTGGTGGACTCTGGGCATTCTGCTGTTCGAGCTCATGTCCGGCCACCCGCCGTTCGAGTCAGCTTACCCGATGCAGATTTATTCCAAGGCGCCAGTTGAGGACGAGGCGGAGGAGGGAGGGAAGGAGGGAGCGAGCGGAGGATGATCGAGGTGCTGTTCGTTTCCTGTCGCTTCCACGCGCGGGCGCCCCCCCGAGGCCTGAGCCCCTGGAGACCTTCGGGGACCTCGGGGGGACCTCTGGAGAGTTCCAGGGGGCGTCGGAGGAGAGAGGAGGAGGAGGAGGAGGAGGAGGAGGAGGAGGAGGAGGAGGAGGAGGAGGAGGAGGAGGAGGAGGAGGAGGAGGAGGAGGAGGAGGAGGA